ATAAAACGACGAAATAATTATTTGTTTTTCTATTATCATTTAAACTATTTTTTATACAATTCAAATAATTGTTAAATAATAAAAATATAAAAAATAGTTAACAGCAAATATTTCACCAACTTTCGAAGCATGTCGGTATACAGTTCGCTAATTATACAGTAAATTTAATGTTATTACTTATAGCTAGGGTGTTTCTGCATCGTAGGACATTTGTCATCTTTATGCGTCTTCATTGTTTAATGAAACATTGTTCTTAATCAGAATTATTTTCCTTCCTCTAAAAAGCGAATTATTATATATTAGTCTGGAAATAAAACATTAATGCTAAATCTTTCACAAACTTGTATTTTCTATCATACCCATGAAGTATTATCACAGTTTGAAACACGTTAGTCATAAGATTTCAACTACTTTTTACTAAGATTTATTAAATCTAACTATTAACTTATTTAATCTAAAATGAAGTATGAATCTAGTATGAGTAATTAAAAAATCAACATATAAATCAATTTATTACTATTCAAAATTTTTCATTTTTTAATAGTATTAAATATATATTTAATACTATTAAAAAATGGAATTAAAAATATTCATATAGCAAAGATAATATTTTTTTGCAATATTGCAATTGTGGCAAATTGTTTTTATTCGTCTTCTACATTATTTGCAACTTCGTCGTTCAACTCAAACTCTAATCTTCCCCGCTTTGCGCGACCTTGGCTTTTATCTATTGCATTTCAAACCCATTCCTTAGGTTTTTCTGTTTTTTTGTCAATGGATTAAGTCAAACTGCATCTAATTTCGAAACAAAAAAATTAAATTTAAATTTATTTATAAGTTTCATAAAGTGCCTTGTTAAATTTAACAAGTATAGTTTTTTGCCATAACTATCGAAAATTGATTAAACAAGCTATCAATATAAAATAGTCATTGCAGCATAATCTTTTTTTATTTAAATTTTTAATACATCTAGACACTGGCGTAGAAAGGTCTATTAAGTTTTGAAGGCTGAAACAGAAATTAAGGCATCATGCATATATTTAAAAGGCATGTTTTTCCCCATATTCCATGAAATTTAATTCACTAGCTAAAACATTAGTTATCAAAGCTGTTTATGCTCTCCTTGTCAAATTTTTAATGTTGGCAACACCAATGACACCAAGATAACTAACCTAAATAAATAAATTTACTTTGAGCAACATTTACAAGTTTTATAAATATAAAAAAAATATATATATATATTTGTTATTTGGAAAACCATGTTTAATAAAATTGTTAAAAGCTTTATTAAACATGGTTTTATAAAGCTTTTAAAGGTTTAATTTTTTTTCGCTTACCAAAGAAAATTAAACATCGCCCCTTTATCCGGATTTCGGATTTCGCTTACCAATAAAACAAACAGAAAAACCAAAATTAGGTACCTAAAGTCCAATACTAATTAGACTAATTGCTTATAATTATTTTTCGTTGAAATTTGGCAAGTTCATAGAAAATGCATGAAGCAAACTATTTTAATAATTAAAAAAAACGGACTCTGCATTTCTTCAACTACAAATCCATGTGACAACATCAACCAAATTTTCATGCAAAATTCACAGCAAAATAATCCATAAAAAAGTATGGTAAGAATACACAATAGTTATATAAAAATCAAGCCTAACCTTTCTTCTTTTCAAAAGACGTCAAGGTTTATAAATGTTTCTAAAAAAAAAACACCTCAAAAAATCGTTTGCCTAGGGCTATCTGAAAAAAGTGGTATACTTGGTATAAGACTAATTAAACTAATTGCTTATTTTTTTTTTTTTTTCATTGAAATTTGGCATGTGCATAGAAAATGCATGAAACAAACTGTTTAAATAAAAAAAAAGCAGACTCTACATTTCTTCGACCACAAATTCGTATGAGAACATCAACTTAATATTCAGGAGCAAAATATCCCATAAAAATATTAAGAACCCTACTTAAAAGTCTTTAAAATATCATAAGCTTTTCTTCTTTCCAAAAAGTATCTATGTGTATATATGTTTCTAAAAAGAAACTCCACAAAACTAAGTCTGCCTCACGTCTGTAAAATAAATTGTATAAAAAACATTTCTAGAAACTTACGATTTGTTTGTGTTGACTAATTTAACTAAAATAAATCTTTCGTCCACTTCTTCGCGTGATACTAACTGTTTCGTTTCTCGTAAAACCACTACTTTGCGTCACACAAACTGTTTCAATGATATCAAACCACTTCTCGCGATGCAAACTGTTTCAATATATTAATACTTTTATCACTAACTTTCAAAACAAACAGTTTGTTTTTAAAAATACGCGATATTTAACCATAGCGTCGTTAAAATAGAAAAATACCTATAAAATTATAAATAACTGTTTTGTAAATCGAGTAAAAGATTTTTAACAAATGCAAGCAAAATTATTGAGCGTGGTTCACTTCGATATCTGATACTTACAATTCTTAAACTTAATAAAAAAATGTAATAAAAAAAACAATGCAAAAAAAAAAAAAAAAAACATCGTAAAAACGTAAACCTAATAAAAAAAAAAAAAGAAAATAGTCCATTTTTTATATTTATAATGCTTAAACGTAAAAAAAAGTAAAAAAACGTAAAAAAAAAAAAAAGTGCAACTATAAAAAAGTATAAGCAAACGTAAAAAAAACGTAATAAAAAAAGTAATAAATTAATCAAAAGTTTGCCAAGAATTTTTCTTTTACAGTTTTGACTAAAAATGCAGACCATAAGTAGCATTTTTTTACCAACTATTTACTCTAACCATAAATGCTATGTTTTAATATTTTAATTGTGTACATTATTTGTTAAGTATAGAAGTAAGTTTTTGCATCAAAAAAATAAAAATAGTAATAAAAAAAAAGCTGGACTTATAGCGACCGTATTTTAAAAAATACACGGGACATACACGGGACATACAAATACAAAGGGTTAAAACATTGTATTTCCTACGTTATGCCGACGTAATTTTTCTAGCTGATATAAAACACGTTGGCCCGACGTCGGGCCAACGTTTTCATGCTATCTGGGATGTGTGCAACTATAAATGCAAAAATGCATACACTCGTTTTCACAGCAAATCTTTGCCTTTTTTTAGTTATATCTAAAAAAACTTTTTTTGCATTAATATCTATAAAAATTAGATTTGAAACAAAATAGGATTGATTGCATAAATATTGAATGAATACTTTTACAATATTTGTCTAGATTTTTAGTTATCACTTGTTACGAGATCAAATTTTACAATACCTTTATTTATGTGATGCTTTAGAAAGTACAACGCACCAAAAAATTAATTGCTTGGCAGTTTTAAATTTTCGTCAAGCGGATAAAAAAACTCAGCCTCTACATTTTTTGTTTTTTTATTTTATTTTGTGGCGTCACAATGTGCTCTTTCTTTTTTCTTATATTTCTAAACATTCTTAACGTGAACTCTATTTTCAAAAGCTGACATCTCACATTTTATTTTCAACAACAATGTCACGTTTGTTGCTAAATGCATTGGTGATTGTGATTCTTTGATCGAAAGTTAAAGTTCATTGAGAATACTCAAAAGAGTATTTTTCGTTGCATTCAGTGCATCAAATATGATGCTTACACAACAGCGGAGTTTAAAAAATTTAGTCATTTTAGCAATATAGCAACCTGCTTAAAAACCTTGAAGTTTAAACAGAAAAGGTATGATAATTATATCCTTTTTTTATATTAAAGGTTGCTTCGACCATTACAAAGATATTGCAGAAGTTCACTTTTGCCAACTAATACCATGGTTTGAAGCAGCATGCAATTTTTTAGCTTAACACATTGTTGGTATCTTTTAGCTTGTTAAGCATATCATTTTATGTTTTTTATATAATTTTTAGGGTATCATTAACATTGTAAGTATGACCCATGAACAAAGAGTATGATACTCGCATTTTGTTTTCGAGCGGTATGTAATCTTTTTTTTTTTAAATGACAGTAGTTTCAATATTGTATTATAAAGATTTTTATCAAAAGTGTGTTGCCAGATTTCTATAAACACATACAATCTATGCTTGTGTAATGTAAAAAAAAGCTTAAGTTATAAGATTATTCTTTCAATATTTATGATTTCAACTTGTGGTATCAAATACATAATTAAGCGTATTTATATCAGATTATGCATGTTTGACGCGAGATTTGCCCATTGGATTGCACTCGCTTTTATTTGAATTTTTAATGATTATTATTAAATAAACTTTTGATATACATTGCAAATCAATTTGTGTGATGAAATCATGAAGTTAAAAGGAATAGAAATAAAATGAAATGAAATGCACCTCTCAAGGATTACTATCCTTGCATGGTAACTTAAAAAAACTTTTATAGTGAAATGAAGTAAACATCAACTTACAATGACGTTTCTGCTTTAGCATTAAAACGATTTTTCATTGTCATAAAAATATTAAAACTATTAACTTTAATAACTTTAATTATTTTAATTGCAAAACTACTTTAAACTTGATTGTATTTTTAACAATTTCACGACTTATTTTTTATACTTTTTTTAAAGTTTCAATGTTTCTAAATATTTTTTTCATTTTTTTAAATTTAATTTCTTTGTCTTTTTTTTTCCTTCCTTGTACTGCAAAGTGTACATACATCAAAATCATCAGTACATCCTATAATATATCGCTCAATAGCAACAATAAAATTAAAGCAGAAAACAGAAAAGTTTAAGCTAAAATATTGTCGGAGTAGACGTTAACGGTCATTTTAAATTAAAGAATATTTCGTAATGCATCTCAAAAAAAAAAAATCAAACAAAATTATTGATAAATGGCGGCATTGAACAGTTTTTAAATATGAAAATAATTAACAAATTGATAAAATTATGTATGACTTTACCAGTAAAACTCATCAACTTTTGAGATTGGATAGTTTTTCTGTTGTAGTGATAAGTATTAAACATTTTGCTTGGATTATATTGGGAAAAAAAAAAGATAAAAGAAAATGATAGTATTATAATGTTTCAAACGTTACTTTATTCTTTATTGCTTATATTATATTTATAGTTTTCGAATGCATACTCCATATGGCCGAATATCTTTGTCGCTAGGACTAATCCAGTATTCACCTTCACCAATGCGATCAGCCGATATTTTTACCAACGTTGTAGGATTCACTCGATTTTGTAGTATCACTGCGTAATGCTCATTTTTATACAAAAATTTGATGGCATATTTTTCTGCTACTTTAATATTTGGAGTTGAATAAACTCCACGCCCGAATGCAAACATTTTTCCTTTTGTTAAATCATAGCCATTCATTGCAAAAGTTTTATCTTGATATACACCTGTTCCATGATACGATACAGGCCATTCTCCTGGGTTATTAGAAGCACCTAACCACGTTAAGTTTTCAAATTTATTGGACACTTTAATGGCAAAGCGTTTCCATCCGCATGGGCGAACATAATTTACTCCACCTCGCATAAAAGTTATATTTGCATCCTTTATATTTGTAAAATCATAATCAAAAGATGGATCTAGGCTAGAGGGATCCAAAATAGATGGACTTTCACCTTGCAAACGAAGCACTAGATGTAGTGTAGACTCGTGCTGTATGTTATGATCAACCAATTTTATGGTATTTTCTAGCTGTTTTCCATTAAATATTAAGCGTTGCTGGATAGATGGTATTTTTTCTTTGCTTTCCATTATAGATTTGAGGTCAGAGACAGTTGTCTCTTGATTTATATGATACGTTAATGTGTGACCAAACAATGTTTTAACGTATATCACAATTTCATTTCTTCCTTCAATATTCTTTGCTGTTTCAGTACTTTGAGCTATTGGATCTGAAGATGCGCTACCTACTCTACCATACGAATACGTTTTATCGTGAAAATCAAACAAAGAAACTTTAGGCATTGATCCTGAACAATCGGTGGGTGATGCCAAAGGAACGCACATAATTGCTGACATTGCAGCTGTTAATAGATCTTGATCATTTTGATATCGCACTGATGCTGCCATTGAAAAAATCAAAAACTAGATACCTAGAAAAATAAAATTTTAATTATTAAAAAAGCAAGCACATGTGAAATTATGGTTCGTACATACATGAAAAGTTTCAAAAGTCTCTATTATTTTAGATAACAAACAATGCAAACGTTTTAACTTGTTTCATTGGTAAATTTTTAAAAGGCACAGCTCTCGCAAAAGCAAAAAATGTGTGCTATAAAACTATAAATTTGTCATTGATACTAAAGATCCGTGTTTGTAAAGCATAAAAGGGAAAGATAATAGTTTTTATTATTTATAAGTTTATCATTAATATGAGACACCTAAGTTAAAAAAGCAAAATATTAGGTGCAAATAATGTCACTATTTTCATAATTTGTCTCAATTAATTTTTTTACAAAGCTGATGACTTCTATATTGAATAATTAAACGATAATTTTACAACGTTGGAAAGATTTTTTTTTGGAAAAAACAATTAACATTTATAATGTTCTCTGCAATCACGCCGATGAAATCAACATATTTTTAATGCTCTCTGCAATCACGCAGTGGCATTAAGACTTCTTGGGGTCCGCGGCTATATTTGTTTTTGGAGGCCTTTTTATGGGTCAGAGCCTAAAAATGACTAATGACAAAAAAAAAAAAAGGTCCTCTAAAATTTTGGGGGGACCCTAAATTTGCGGGGTCCGGGGCTATAGCCCCCCTTGCCCACTTGATCCGGCACTGCAATCACGCCAATGAAATCAACATATCTTTAATGCTCTCTGCAATCACGGCTATGAAATCAACATATTTTACTGAACCAAATAAAAAAACTAGCTTAACTAAATACAACTAAAATTAATGTTCAACTACTTATTGATAACTCATATTGATTTTTGATCGTGGTATTAGATCACCTATAATTGATTGTACATGGGCATTAAAGGACATGTAATTTCTTTAATGTTCATGTATGATGCTTATTTAAACTATTTGAATTATTTAAAAATTTTTAAAAATATACTACTTGAAATAAACTTAATCTATACAACAAATTAATTATAGTGTTCCATAGAAAAAGTTAGGAAATTTGGATCGTAATTATCTTCATCATACATGACAAACACGTGACAAATTTTTTCCGTTTTTTTATGTTTAAGCAAGTTTTAGAAGTGCGAAATTAAAAAAAGTTTATAAAATTTCTTCTTTCCCGTTACTGAGGCGCCTTAACCCTCCACCCACCCCCATCGTTTATTGGGTAGCTGAGAGAAGTTTTTTTTAATTAAAAACAATCGTGATTTTAAATATTTGATCGAACTCAACAAAAACGTATAACTATATTTATTGAATTGAAATATAACTATTTTGTCATAAAATCACTTTTTATGCTTTATAAAAAAAGTCATTTACCTTTTGAAAAGATATAATATAGCTGGAGAATAAACGAAGTAAAAATACGTTATTTTTTATTTTTCTTTATTTTCACAATTAGAAGCTGGAACTTGTTGCAATATGCATGCTACTGTGATTTTCTTAAAGAACAATTGTAACAAAAATATATTTTTCATATTTTACCTGAATGTGTATATTTGTAACATTTTATTTTCTTTTGTAATTTTACGTCGCAATAGTTTAACAGTTTTAAAGTTTATTTATCTAGTAACTAAAAGTTGCAATTTTCTGTTCCGTGCGTGGTTCCGCTTCAAATTTATTTTTAAATAAAATTAATACGAGCGTACAAGGCTGGATTAAGGGTCATTGCGCAGGGTGAAAAAATTATTTGGGGGCCCCATTCCTAAAAATATATATATTCAAAATTGAATGCATTAAAACATGATTACTTTTTTATTCATAAAGAAAATTTTCTTGCTTTGAAGTTGGCGACAATGACATCTTCAAGATTTATATTTTGTACCAGAGTTCTATCAGTTTTTATCAAACAAAGAGAATTTAAGTGACCACATAATATTGAGAAACGGATATCATTCTTAATTCTTGTTATCTATTAAAATGCTAGCTCGGCACTATTTATAAATTATATACATTATGTTTAACTGGTAATGGGAAAGGAATATGGACTATATATATTTGGTAATTGCAAGCAAGGCCGGCGCGATAGGGGTGTGGGGAGGTGATCAATGATTTTTAGTCGGTAAACTGGACCCTTACTCGGCAAATTTGGACCCTTAGTCGGCAAATTGGACCGTTTTAGACTAGTTAGTCGGCAAATGTCGACCCTTTTGATATAGGTTAGACAGTCGGTAAATGTCTCATGACAGTCGGCAAATTTTAGAAAACGAGGACCTTTTTTTTTTTTTTTTAAAAGTTGTAATGGCACCCCCCACGTGACACCTACTCGCGCCGGCCCTGATTGCAAGGGTTTAAAAAATCAAATATGCAAAAAAAACTAATTTTTACTTATTCCTATGAGCTGCTTTTAAACATTTTATTGCTGATATATTCTTCTCGTCTGCTATAAACTTGAAAAAATAAACAGTTTCATCATGAAATTGTGTAAGTCTGAAGGATAAATAGTACACAAGGAATTAGCAGCAGCAACAATAACAGCAACATTAATGTTCAGAAAACTAGTTAGAAAACCAAACTTTCTTTCTGCAGAATTGTAAGCAAAAAGCCTTTTTTTGAAGCACATTTTCAGCTTGCCTATGAAAGGGAATAAGTGTTTAATTCTAAATTTGTCACCGCCACTTAGAACCTCTTCATTCACTGCATGCTCACCAACTCCTACTATGCTCATCTTCTTTCATGCTTGTACTGCTTAGGAGGAATGTTTGAGAACATTCCAGCACGATCCTAAATGTCAAAAAAATCTTCACGAACTAACGTTACATATTCCAAATAAGATTGGAAAAATTGCAAAGCAAGAGCTAAATCAGCAATTTTATACTGAATTTTGATGTTAGCATCAAAATTCTAACATGACTTTGATGTTAGCATCAAATTCTAACATGATTTTGATGTTAGCATCATATCAAATTCTAACATGATTCTGCGCTAAAGCTCCTTCATAAAGACAGCATCTTAAGTTTTTATCTTCTTCAAAAGTGTAATAACTTTAATTTGCATGTAGAACTTGAATAAAAGATGGTTCTGCTGACCATCTTCTTCTATTCAACCTTTGATGCTAATATTCCTGCTCTTTCCAGCACCACTTATAAAAACAAAACAAATTATCTTCTATCTGTGAGTTAAAGAAACACAGAAATTATACAGACATTGAAGAAACCCTAAAAAAAAATCAATTGCAATCTCACAGCTGTCAACAGCATTTATACCAACTAAATTTAAAAAATGCGCTGCAAAAGAAATAATATCATTGTTTGGGTATTCATTTTTCAGTTGTACTTGCAGGTCGTTATATTTTCTAAACACGGTAGATGCATTGTCCAATGAATCACCACAAGCATTGTTTAAAGTTTAAGTCAAACTCTTTTAATCTTTTTTTGACAGCATCTGTCAAAGTCTTTCCATTAAGTCCGCAAGAAGACTCAAACCCAATAACTTTTTTTTTCTACTAATAATTTTTGAATATTTTTGTCATTAAATAGAAGATTTTCTCAGAAATTATTATAAAATATTTGAAACATTTCCTCTGCCCTAATTTTCTCAGTTTTCTAATTGTTTAGCAAGGAATGGGTCAAATTTTGAAAGCACTTCTTTACTCGAAAGGGTTTCCATTACTAAAGGCGGCGTTTTTTTCTGAGTCATCTCTAAGAGTTAGACTGCACAAAAGCTGCAAGCGTTTAACAACTCTTCTAAGATAAAACCTTCAGTAACGCTTTTTATCATTCAACTGCTATTTCTTATTAGCATTAATACTTCCGTTTATTGTGACTTCTCCAAAATAGCACGGGACTGCATTAATGAACTGTTGTTTCGTCCATGCATGTATAAAATGCTGTCAAGGTGGCCAGTTATCGAATTCCGTTCTGAAGTTGTTATCTGAATCTTGAAAAAGCAGCAGAAGAAACAAAATGTTTTGTCAGTGGATGGTGAATAAATAAGCTCATTTTAATTTCACTATTTTTCAACTTAGAAGAAATATAGTTTAAAAAGTAGTACCTTACATAAGCTTTTCCTCCAATTATCTTATTTCAACAATTTGCAAGGTCTTCAACAAGTTTTGCAACATACTTTGCAAGATCTTTTCAAATCAGTCGCGTTTTTTTAAACGTAAAAAAAAAAGCAAAAGAAGATTAAAAGAAGGAAAAAAAAAGAAAATTACAAACGAGGAATAAAAAGATCTTAATATCTTATTAAAATTTTCAACCGCTCACCATTTTGATGACGACACCAACTTACTTATAAGAAACAAATTATTAAATAAAATTAACAAACATATTAATCATGATTTATCCAATCTTCTTCAATGGCTGCGCTCTAACAAACTAATTCTTAATTAATTTTACCAACAAAATTGAACTCATTATTTTCAAATCAAGTCAACCTTTAAAAACCTAAATAAGTCAATGTATAAAAGCCTAAACTTAGACTAAGTGGCCAAAAAAACTTTCCCGTAGTTTTATCAAAATATCTCTGAATCCAAATTGACTCAAATATTCTTTTCCTCTCATCCTAAAAACTTAGGAGTGAATTTGATCAAATGGGATGCTAGGCAAAATTCGCCACCATGTTAGTTATGAATTTTTTTAGTTAATATTTACAATGTAATTTTTGGATCACACCTTAGATATACTTGTCAGGTTTGGAGACAAAGCAAGTCTAAAGCTTTTTTAAGATTATCTAACCAACAAAACAAGGCTTTAAAAGTAAAATTCTTTCAACAATATCATGCTAACTTTGACATCCTTTACTTTCTATAAAAGAATACTCAAAATCCTTTTTAGCTTTTTAAATTGTCCATTTGTCTTGAATCATAAACAAGTAATCTTCCCTCTGTCATTCTCCAAATTTTTTTGCCACTAAAAAAAGTTCTTGTTGTAACCTTCGATCTTTTAGTAACTCTATATAATCTATACCAAATCGCTGTTCGGAAAAACAATTCTATCACAAATCAATGCATAAAATTGTAGAATGCTTTACCTCTTCATTTTCAATGAAGAATTTTCAATAAAGACATCCGTTTAACCGTTAAAAAAACTTTTCAAAAGTTTTAATTTTGTCAATCTTGCTAACTATTGTGTCTGCTTTTTTGTTGTTGGCGAAAATGATTTAAATAAAAAATATTTCTTGATGCATAAAGAAAAGTAGAAATCAGTAAACTATACCGTTAAAAGTTTTAAAAATAAGGTTATGGCTTAACAAATACTTAATTGTGAGAGAAACAGACAACAAACCAACTCCAAGTAGATGTGGCGAAAACCCAGTTACATTCAAGTCTTCTAAAAAAACTAAAAAACGGTGTGCATCTGGTTTTCTTGAATCCCATTCATTCAATAATATAGTTTTTGATAATAGTATGAAATTAAAAGATTAATTAAATGTTATCGCTGCCAAGAATATTTTAAACATTTCAAATACGGATAAAGCAGTTAAATATTCAGCAAATGAAGCTCTGGCCCAAAATTTGATGCTAATTTCTATAAAATGATTAGAATCTGTTTAGTTCAGGAATCTGTGTTAAGGGACATTATAATCAAAGACAAAGCAATAAAAAAAATGACTTTCACATGTAAGACTGGTTATGATGGTGGTTTTGACCAAAACTAATATTATTACTACTACTACTACTACTACTACTACTACTACTACTACTACTACTACTACTACTACTACTACTACTACTACTACTACTACTACTACTACTACTACTACTACTACTACTACTACTACTACTACTACTACTACTACTACTACTACTACTACTACTACTACTACTACTACTACTACTACTACTACTACTACTATTACTACTAGTGAGGCAATTAAAATACTTCAAAACTAAATAGCGTTTTCCATAATACATACTTTACAGATTTTAGATTTATAAGAAAAAAACATCAAAAAACATCAAAAGGCACTTTTACAAGTAAGCAGCTTAGGAACGCAGCAAGGTCTTTTTTGGAGGAGAAGACATAAGTGCAGCTTCTAAAAAAATCAATATCAAGAGAATGCCATTAATAAAATACAACTCAAAACTAAACTCTGGAAGCAACCTATTTATAGTTTATTTAAAAGCTAGGTTAATCTTTTCTCATGAGCAAGAAAACTCCTAATAAAATTATTTAGGCATCAATATTTTATCGATGTACTTTACAGATGTACATTGCTTTGTAATGCGCATGTTTTTAAATAAAAAATCAAAACATCGTAATCTTAAACTATAAATTGTAATCTTAAAATAAAATAGTAAAAAATAAATTTAAAAAAAAAATCCTGTATCTGAAACATGAATGAATCCTGTATCTGAAACATCTGGGATTCACATGGGATACTAAACATTCAGTTTTTGCTTCACTCGGTTATTCAAATGTTGATGAAAAAATATCAAACTTTAGAGCTGTTGTTCAAACTCTTATTCAATCTGGAATCCGGTTTGCCCACCCCAGTTCTATTTCCTATATATATAAATCATTGGCAGTCCCCACCTTAACTTATGGTATGGAGCTATGTGAAAATAATCCTGGTCTGATGAAAAAGCTAGATATAATTGGAAGGAGTGCGCTAAAATCGTTTTTAAATGTTTCAAAACATAGTAAAAACTATATGAATTCGTTATTTAAAATCCAGGAAATTTCAAAAAGTGTTCAACAAAATAAGTTAAACTTGTTCCTTCGACTTCTTAATAACAAAACAACTGCAGACATTATCTTTTCACAACTGCAACACCCGTTATTTCAACATTCGTTTGTTAGTGATATTCAGGAACTATGCCACCTTCAGATATTAAATTTTCAAAACCTAATTCAAAATAAAAAGAAGGTAAAAATACCACTTTCTAAAAGTAAAATTCCTTCCGAAGTTGAACGAAACTTGAAGTATGCAATAGAGTGCTGGAATGCAAAAGAGCAAAGAGGAGTTTTCAAGCAAATTCTGGAAGAAAACGTTTTTAAGCAAAGTCATCCGAAATAACTTTCTTATTTTTTTCTTTTTACCTTGTAAATTGGGTGTTAAATAAATAAAATAATAATAATAATGAAGCAACAAGCCTAGATAAACATCACGATGAAAATGTAAAAGTAAGTTTGATAAAGTTATAGAAATAGACATGTTCAGTAATTCATTCAAGATAGCCGAAGTCATTACTATCCATAAAAAGGGTTCCCTAATGTACAACACAAATTATCAACTAATTTCTCTTCTATCTGACATTAGTAAAATATTTGAAAAAGTCAGGTACAACAGAATTTATAGCTTTCTTGACAAAAGCTAATGTCTCTATAAACATCAGTATGTAACAAACACTCCACAACTCAGGCACTTATTAAAATAACTGAAGTTATTAGAAATGATCTTGACAATAAACTTTTTGCAAGATCATTTCTAATGTGGAGTGTTTCTTGAAGTTTGATAAAGTTATAGAAATAGACATGTTCAGTAATTCATAAATACGAAAATGTTGACAAAACTGGGTTATCTATGTGGGAGTGCTATAACCTAGAAAAGCGGTGGCTGCAAAGGTCAAGCAAAACCTTGATGGTAATATCTCTGTGAAAAAGAAGACCGGTGTCTGCCTTACAGTGCCTAATTATTTTTTTTTTTTAATTACAAAGATGATTTTATTAACACTTGTCCACCGGACTGTATTCAGATAAGAGTTTAAAAAAAACAAGCAGCATTTTATTAAGTATGCAAAGCTTTCAAATTGACATAATACTCTTTTGGTGTTGGACAACTATTCTTCTTATTTACAATGAGAAACACTAAGTCTAGCAAATGTTTCTCCAAACACACTGTAGCAATAAGCCACAGCCACTAGACGTATCAGTATTGGATCTCTTAAAAGTTCTTATCAAGAAAAAAAATAAAACCACCTACCCATCAATCTTTCAGAGATCATAAAGAGAAAGTTAAGAGTTGAAGAAGCAAAAAAATAGAGAAAGAAACTTTAAAGACAAGTGCAGTACACAATTATGTTTCACACAATGAATGAATTATGCAAGTGCAGTACACAATTATGTTTCACACAATTATGTTTCTCACACAAAATGAGCTTCAACACGAATGTTGCTATAATTGCAAAATGGACATTGAAGTCAAACATTTGTTTATTTGTAAATGTTTATCATTTTGTCAATCCATGAAGTATTGCTTTGTTAAAATAATTAAAAAAAAAAATGTTTTACTTTCAAAATAAAAAAGTATTACTTTCTTTTCTTTTAGGTGCATTTAACCTCAAAATTAAAAATTTATCCTGAACATTTTATAGAGATTTAAAATATAGTTTATAACTTTTTTTTAACAATCCTTATGCAGGTTTTTTAACAGAGTTTGTAGTAACTATAGTAATACATTAGTTTGTTTATCGTTTAACCCCACACAGCTGTTCAATCCGCAAATGCATGTTATACAGTTCATAAGCTTTTGGCAAAATCTTTACAAAATCCAAAAATAATTTTTTTCTTAACCTATATATTATAGATTACATTTTTTTTCGAATCGATAAAAGAACTATGCAAATCTAACGTACAGTTCAATATATTTGTTAGATTTAGTAAAAATCGCTCAACTAGTACTACCCTACTCTACACACGGCTAGCTGTTAAAAAATAAATGAGCCATTCTAGTAATAAACCTTTCGCCATTTGCTTTTTTCCATAAAACCGTGTTCTGGAATCTGTACCGTAAAATCTACAAAAAAACTTAAGCTGTTCATGAATTTAACACTTCTGTGGACCACGCTCAATTAAAAAATCAGAATCATTCTTCCTTGAATCACTGCACATTCTAGGTTCAATTAAACCACAGTCCTTCTTGATAGTTGATTCATTTCAAGTATAGGATTAGATATAGTTATTTGTTGCTTGTAATTATTCGAACAGCTATCATTCTAAGGATTTGATTCATTTTGATGAACAGGAGAATCGCTGTCAAAAATATCGAGTTTGTATATTTGTGATAAAACCCGCAAAGTTACCGTTATAAATATGCAATTCAATATGCAAAGAAATTGATAAAAGATTACACTAAAAAATTGTATGAAATTGATTACACTACGTAATAATCAATTTCATACAATTTCATTACTGACAATAATGAAATTGTAGTTTGTTCACTAGATGATAGAGATGAAGAACCTTGGAAAAATGAAGTTAGTTTTTAGCCATTTCTGGTTTCGGCCTACATAAAAATTTAAAATATACTTTAGAGCAAGTAACTAGTTAAGAATAAAGATAAAATTATTGTTAATTATATTTTATTTATAACCTCAATGTTTACTACTATTATTGTTTTGATTCTTAATATTGTTAAAATAACAATACTATTAGTCATAATAAAAAAAATAATAATTGCAATAATGATGTAAAATTTATAAACAGAAAAAGCTTTCAAAATTAAAAAAGCTATAAAAAATTAGGCAAATCGAAGGCTAAATGTGTATTTTAAAACATCTGCAATTTTATAAATTACCTTTTTATGTTGTGACTATTTAGTTTTCTGTTCTATATACATATCAAAAAGTTTTTCTTTAAACATGCTTATAAATCTAACTAATTGATTGCTGCAATAATCTGTGAAATAATATAGTAGTGTGAAAAGCATTTTATTTAAAAAAACAATATCACATGACATATATAAACAAAATTAAACAAATAATAGGGAGTTTAGGCAACTTTTATAGCAAATGTAAATCTTTTTTATTTCAATTGCATTGCGTTTCTTAATATATTTCACTTCTAAAAAGGTTTCAACCACTTCTGTAGCTTATTTAGTTCCGAATATATACGTGTTTTAATATTTTCAATTCATAGACTTTTTATGAAATATTTTCCTAACGTATCTCGTTAAATTTTTGGCACCGAATAAAAAAATTTTTTTAATTTTTTTTTCTTGCGTAAAAACTTTTTGCGTTAATAAACTTTCAATAAAGATTTGTTAGAAATTATATCGTAAATCAAACTTATTTGAAAAATTTACAAATATAATTTTTTTAACAGTAGAATATGTTTTAAACTTTTTAAACTTAACTTAAGTTTTTAAATCGTTTAATTTATAATACGTTAAGGGTAACAAAACTTAACCGAGTCTGTTGTTTAGACTAATTTACTAATTTCCCCATATAAAATTTTTCCTTTTTTTTTATAAGGGTTTAACTTTATAATTCTAATTTAGAATTTTAGGGTTTTGAATTTTTTTAAAAACAATAAATAAAAAACTTGTTGAATTGTTTTATTTGATTGTGTACATAGATTAACAAATTTAGTCAACAGAATACTTTTATGGATTATATTCTATTTCAAGTTGCAAAAGATGTCTTAAATCTTTTTTTTGTCTTCGAAAACAAATATCGTACTATTAACGTAACCAAATTTGTCTATATGATGCAAATTATTTGAACTCAGAAATTTAAATTTTAAAAATTCATTCAAAACTTCTCTGTGAATCGAAGGAAAAGTTATTATCGAACTGTAGTTCAAATTTCAGAGTAGGCTACCCTAAAATAAAAGTAACCTATTGTTATAAAAAATTAGAAGGATTGCGGGAGGATTACAATTTGATCGCCCTTTTTTAACAGTACACACAGATATATATTTGTCTAACTTACTTAAAGAAGTACACCAACGAGAAGGTAAGCCATAGGACTTTGCACTCCATCAGTGAGCTGCTATGTTGCCTAAGATTGGTCCTCCATTTGGGGATTATTTACTTCTTAGTTATACATATATATATATATATATATACATATATGTATATATATATATATACATATATATATATATATATATATATATATATATATATATATATATATACATATATATATATATATATATATATATATATATATATATATATATATATATATATATATATATATATATATATATATATATATATATATATATATATATATATATATATATATATATATATATATATATATATATATATATATATATATATACATATATGTATAAGCATATAAGTTAAACCTTTTCTTAATACGGAATCTTTAAAAATTATATATTTCTCATTTATTCATAGTTATTATTCCTATTGTAATCTTGCATGGGCAAGTACCAATTATGGGAAGCTCAAAAAAATTATAGCAAACAAAAACATGCTTGTAGGATTATTTTTGGCGTTAACAGAACTGTTAATGGTGAATCTCTTTTAAAGAAACTTAATGTGCTTAATATTTACAAACTTAATATATACCAAGTTATGCTATTTACGTTTAAAACAAAACATGCGTTATCTCCTAATATATTTCAGTCTTACTTTACCGAAATATCTCATAAATATCCCACTAAATTTTCATCTGATAATTTTGTTATTCCAAGATCTTATTTAAAACTCAATTCATTTCAAATTCCGGGGACCATTTATATGGAAAGGTTTTTTAAAAAATATAATTAAAAATAAAATTCTTCGAGGCATCTCCTTAGAACAATTCAAAAAAGAATCTAAACGTTTTCTATTAGAAAAAACTTTCGATTTTAAAGATTTCTTCTAAAATCACCTAAAATAATTAAACCTGAAAAAGTCATCACTACTCATTTACTATTGTCTTGTGTATCTTGTTTATTTCTTATTAAAATAAAAAATATATATACTAATAATTTTGAACAGACAAATAACATTTATTCGATTTATTACTTGTGTCTTATATTTGTCGAACTAATATTGTATTGTACTTCAATTTTTAACCTTTTAGTTTTTAACTTGTAACTTTGTGACGTTAATGTAAACGGGGCTTGGCGATAAGACAGTTTATGTCTTCTTCTTGCTCCGGCCAATTTTTATACATGAATGGTTTTTTCTCATTGTAAATTTAATTATACGGCAAAGAAAATATAATAATAATAATAATAATAATAATAATAATAATAATAATAATAATAATAATAATAATAATATATATATATATATATATATATATATATATATATATATATATATATATATATGAATATATATATATATATATATATAAACTACATACATATATATATATATATAAACATATATATATATATATATAAACATATATATATATATAAACATATATATATATATATATAAACATATATATATATATAAACATATATATATGTCGTGATTGCCAAAATAGCATAAAAAAGCAACTATTTTTAAAAATGTTTCGTAAAATTTATTTACATTTTCAAAAGATTATTTTACAATAATAAAACTTTGAAATAAATATTAAAAAATAGAAGTCTTTACAGAGAAATAATAACGGACAAAAATTTACATAATGAACCAATATATTTATAAGAAAATAATCCGGTAAATACCAATCAAAATAACTAACTGTTAAAAAAAAAAAAAAAAAAAAAACTAGTAATGATGATAAACTGACAGTAAAATTAAATAGATAAGTTTATAGCATTTTGTGAAGTCTGTTTATTAAGTGAGTTGTTTATTAATGTAACTAATAAGTTTATCGTTTCATATGATGTTGAAAGTTTGTTCACGAATATTCCACTTAAGGAATCCATTAACATAGCAACTGATTTATTTTTTAAAGATAAAATAAACTCAAAACGTTTTTCAAAAATTCAGTTTAAAAAATTACTTCAGATTTCCACATCCGGTTCACATTTTTTATTTGACGGAAAATATTACGATCAAACGGATGGTGTTGCAATGGGTTGTTTTTTAGCGCCCATCTTAGCTAATACTTTTGTCGGATTTCATGAACAAACATGGATCGATAACTGCTTCTTTACAGCACCATTATTTTATATACGGTATGTGGATGATATAATTGCCATTTTTAATTCTGAATATGAAGCTCAAGAATTTTTCAAACACCTCAATAAACAACATAAAAATTTGAAATTTACTATGGAAAAAGAACAAGATAACCAGATTGCTTTTTTAGATGTACTTATTAAAAAATCCAATTCATTATTGACTTCAGTTTATCACAAAAAAACAAATACAGGTCTTTTACAAAATTTTTTAAGTTTTATTCCTTCTTGCTACAAATTTGGACTTGTTTGTTGTTTGATTGATCGTACATTTAAAATTACTTGGGTTGGTTTTGATAAAAGAATTAAGATTTTATCATTAGTTTTACAAAATAATAAATTTCCACAAAAAATTATTGACTCTGAAATTAAATCCTATATTGATAAGAAAATGAACCCACCTGTTTCTAACATTGTTAATAGCTTAAGTACATTCCAATGTATGGAAGCTTAAAGTATCTACTTTAAGCTTCCATACATTGGAATGTACTCAAATTATACTAAAATAAAAATTTCAAAAATTGTTCATAAATGTTGTAAGAATGTTTTAATAAAATTAATTTTCACTACTAATAAAATACAAGATTGTTTTTGCTTAAAAGAGTCACTTATTAAATTGTTTTTGCTTAAAAGAATCACTTACTAAATTGCTTAAATCTCATGTTGTCTATAAATTTTCTTGCGCTGGCTGTAATGCCAGTTGTATTAAAGAAACCTCCAGACATTTGGCAACTAAAATAAATGAGCACCTTAAAAGTGATAAACAATCTCATATATTTAAGCACTTAAATTTATCTGTTAATTGCAAAAATCTGGCTAACTGTGATTCTTTTGAGATTTTGGATAATTCCCCAACCAAACAAAAATTAAAGATAAAAGAAGTCCCTCACTTAATAAACAAACTTCACAATATGTTATAAACTTATCTATTTAATTTTACTCTCATTTTATTATTTTTATTATTACTATTTTGTGACAGTTAGTTATTTTGATTGGTTATTTGCCGAGATATTTTCTAATAAATATATTGGTTCATTATGTAAATTTTTGTCCGTTACTATTTCTCTGTAAAGACTTCTATTTTTTAATATTTATTTCAAAGTTTTATTATTGTAAAATAATCTTTTGAAAATGTAAACAAATTTTACGAAACATTTTTAAAAATAATTACTTATTTTATGCTATTTTGACAATCACAACATATATATATGTATCTATAAATATATATATATATATATATATATATATATATATATATATATATATATATATATATATATATATATATATATATAAATATATATATGTATATATATATATATATATATATATATATATATATATATATATATATATATATATATATATATATATATATATATATATATATATATATATATATATATATATATATATATATACTACAACTTCAAACACCTTTATCGTCTTTTCTTAATCTTAAACAAAACCAATTTAAAATACTGAAAACAATTTTGTTCTAACTTATTGATATGATTTTTACTTAATTTTTAAAATAAACTTAATTATGATTACTAAAACTTAAATCTCTTTAAATCTTTACTTATTTATGCATGTTCTATGTGTGTATACTTTTTATTATTCATATTTTATTTAAAAACTGGTTTCAGTCCATTTTGATCAGAATTCTGTTTGAGTGACACCATCCTTATCAATCGTTTAGTTATTATTGTTAAATACTTATAGTTATTTTATTATTACATTATTATATTATTTTATACTATTATTGTTATTGCTATTATTATTATTATTATTATTATTATTATTATTATT